GACGCCATCCTTAATCAATGACGACAGTCAAAGGCAGCGGGTTGGTGTCTTCGAGAGGCGAACAAATCATTTCGCTCCAACGGATCAGAATCCTATTCTGCTCTGAGCATAAAACATATCTTCCACATCAGTTCGTGCCTTATATGGATATGTAAAGGATTCCACGCGTATCGAGGCAGGCGCGATGTTGCTCCCACTTCATGACCCGCAGGATCTTTGAGCGAAGCTTCAGCATCATCCTCTAGATTGACTTCGACAGCGGACTCGAACGTCTCGGACTGCATAGGAGACGATTGCCTGGGCCTTGACCGTAGCGTATGGGGAGCTACTTCGATATTTGCGGAGCCTGCCGAGATCAGATCGATCCTCATTCTTGAAGAGCTTATCTTTCCCTCCCCCACGTCGACAAACAGCTCCTCCGAGTCCTGAGCTCGTGCGCGGGCGTCCTATCCGTTTGTCTGCGCGCTCGTCACCTCGACCATCGGCCGCTAACGCATCGAGCATCCCCATACGGTTGAGGACTTCGAGGGAAAAATCCCACGTAAGGAGTATCGAGCTCGGTCCACGGGAAAGAGCAGCGAAGCTCCCGGATATCAATTGAAACCACCCGCCTACGGAAATGTCCTTCGTTCGATTTCTCTCATTTCCGATTGGACGCAGAAGATATCATCTTCGAAAATCACCATCAATCGAAGCTCCGACCGCGCGCTCCGCATGGATTCATCAGAATGCTGAGCAAACAAATCCGCGGAGAGATGTTGGCGGACGCGGCCGGCGCAAGCAAGATACACAAGGAGTAATGAATGAATTTAAACAACGAGCAAGAGCGAGGAGGGAAGACAGAGCAAAGACGGAACGAAAGAGACAGATTCCGACTGAATAAAGAGCAAATAGCATGGGCAACCATCCTCTTGCACTCGGTGCTCAAGCGAAGGAAGCGTGGGAGAATGGCACGTGTAAGAAGACGCGACTCGGGAGCGCCGGGTCGGACCGGAAAACGAGCCTGCCGGGACGAGCGGAGGGGAATTCGCGCGTTAGGACGAGGAAGCTTCTCAATTCCGGAACTGTTTGTGAATGAAAATACATACGGGCTCCACGCTCAGTCGTCGAATCAGCTCAACGGCTTGGACGGGAGGATGAATATATACTCGCTTCTCGCGAATCGTGGCTTGATGATGGAATCGTCTAGACTCCAGACTCTGGCTGAGGGAAGCGGCCAAGGATGAGCAGAAAACGGAAGGAAGCGAACAAAAGCGGCTCGGGGAAATCGTGAAAGTATCCGGCAGATGATCATACAGTCGGATGTGGAATATTCCGGACAAGGAGAGCGAGGCGATCTTTCGGACGGAGACTAGCTCTGTATTTATGTCAGCGAGCGTTCGTTACCCTACTCTCGGGAGGCTCGCATTCTCTCATAGGTGGGATTCAAAATGATTGAACGTGCATTATTTGCACTGAACATGCTGACGAAACGCGATATGCAAACACGGCGGACCCGGGCAACGAGCATTACCTACCCAGCATGGAGACCGTAAGTCTTTTCATCGGACATTGCTCCTGTTCGTGAATAATTCCTGTGATGTGTGTTCCCGACCATCGCAGAGAGAATCCCGAGCCATATAACATCGACGAAGGGGGCCTGAGAATCCAAATTATTTCGTGAGCTCTCCTATTGATTGATATCATAACTGGAGGGACAGATCACGACCTTGACGAAATCCGGAGAACTCCGACGGGATGTCTCATGGGGCGATATCAACGGATACGTTTCTTTTCTGTCTTCCCGCTTTTCGCCGAATTCCGCCGCCCAGATCAGAAGTCGTCGATCGTATTGAGTCACAGAGCGAGGAATTCCATCGTGCATAATATCTTGCGACAGAGAACACGCTGCGATAGCGTGCAATAGAATTGCGAAGCCTACAATCGCTCCCGTTTCATGTAGGCGACGGACTCGGGGACAATTAGAGCACGAGGACTTAATGGTGTCTGAATCTCGCGTCGTTCTCTGCCTGAGAACTTTAGGCGTCTTCGGTTGGCCTACCATTAAATCCTGAATAATGGTGGCTTTATGGGCCATGAATTCTTGTGTCTGAGTGAGTGCGCACACAGAAGCGGACCGGTTGGCCGGCAAACGCTTCGGCGTGTATGTATGTATGTTTGTTTCCACGCACGTACTGTGAGCACGAAAGCGTCGTCATGACTGCGTAGGGAGGGGAATATGTGTTCTATGGCCCGCATTCGGCCATAACTTATTCCCCGAAACTCATCGTTCCGGAGCAATACCGTTCTTCCGTGTAGGAGGACCACTTGCGACAGAGTGCGCTCTCGTCGAACAGGCATTGTCGGGCTGTAGAGAGAAGTTGTCGCACAACACGATTAGGCATACCACTTCAGCGTCTGGTTATTTCGCGACGGATCACCATAAGCGCTCGGAGTTCACAGCGTTGAATTGTCCGCTGGCATCCGAAGGAGATCAAGTTGCCAGCCGGATGTCCTCGGAGAGTGTGCCTGGCTCAGATAACTCGAGGGGAAGCGTTCGCGCGCAAAGTGCTCCTGGGTTATTCGGTCAGAGCAATTCCCAAATTGGTCTACGTGACCACGACGAAGCATCGCTGGCAAACGATGCTCCTCTAAGCCCACAAAAGTCACATTTGCCCGCTGCTCGGCTGCCATACCTGATGGAGAACGGTGCTCGGAGAACCGCGGTCCTGAAGGCTTGTCTCTCGCTCCGCGACGCGAGAAATATTTTCCGGGAGCGAGCAACAGCAGCCATTGTCGACGACGGACGAGCGATGTTTCGGATTCACGAGCTCCGCGAAAGTTCTCCGAAGAGAAATATCGCCAAGCTAATACGGGAAGATGCCGCTAGTCTCAAACAGACCAGGATCGCTGCGAGCGGTCGGATAGCCGGCCAGCCGGCAGGCTGTCGGGTGCAGCGGCTCGATCCATGGGGAAATTTCGAGAATCAATCACTCAATCCACGGAAAGTCGGCCGAGGCGAGCGCCCAGAATAGATGAATGGAGCTTCTCGTGGAGAAGTGACATTAAAAGTTGAGGCGATTCGAGCAACATCCATTAATCAGTTAGCCCTGCGCCGCTGCTGGCTCGAGCCCTGAATATGTGACGCAACGCTTCTGAACTCTGGCTGTGAGTAGTTAAGCAGCCCGCCAGACTGGACTGTCTTCGATTCATTACTTTGTTACCCCACGGTACGCAACTAAGCGAAGACCTAGAGCTCTCTGAGCGTCCAACTTGCGAGATTGAGGGGAATTCTAGCTCGTGTGGTTCTCCTGAGCGAGACATGAACGAGCTCGAGCTCCGTGAGAGCTTTCAGGCGTCTTCGGTCAAAGCTTGACAGAACGTGACGACTGTGTTTTGCGCGGAACGAAGCACCAGGACGTGCGCATCGGAGCGAAAACTCCGAGAGGTCTGTGCATTCCGGAACGATCGTTGAAATTGTTGTTGTTCAGCTGGGCGGAAAGCCGAGCTCCCAAATTGATCCACAGGCTCCAGGAAACGCGAATTTCATCTTGAATCGCCTGTCGGTCCTGAAACATCGCACCGATTCCATTAGATCCCTTACCCGCTCAGCTGTGGCGGAAGTTTGCCGAACGCGACACGAGACCCCCGGTCGCGGAGGGAAGATCATTTTTGTGCTGCACAAAAAAAGCGGTGGCAAACGACGTTAAAGTCATCAGGATTCGGATGGAATATTTCCAGATGTCGGCCTCCGCCGTTCTGCTGAGGCACAACATAGTTCCGAGAGCAAGAGCTCCTAAATGATCGAGGAACATCTTCCCGAGGAGAATACTATCCTCCTCTGACACGATTTAACATTCATTGACGTGGGATTTTGCCAGTTCCACAGACGTCCACTACTAGCATAATGGTTGGGATCGGAACCCCCCGACCGTTTCCACGCATTGCCTCTGCGTCACGCCAGCTCTCGTGTTTTGCGGAACTTTGAGGCGGAGCTCAAGGCGGGAGTCCGGGGCCGGTAGCGCTAAACCGTGGCACGATTCTTCTTGGACCACGCAGGGATCTCTGAACTTTATCGCGATCCCGCCACCGGTTGCACGTTACGCTGCGAGCAGCTGTCGTGGTCCGGAGTCTGGGAGGGAATTCCGTCGTTCCCAAGTCCGAAAGAAGATGTCTCGGGAAAGGAGCAGCCTCTCGGAGGGCTAACCGTCGGTTGTATCTCAGCAACGAGTCCACCCGTTCACGGATTTGGTATGGCCAGTTATTCGTTCAGTGCTTCAAGCTGTCCGACGGACACTCGTGCTTGCGAGGAAAGCAAATGTGGTTAGTTTTTCTTATCGCGGATAACGAAGGTGGACGGCGGGCGGGAGCTCCATGCATACGAAATACTCGTTGCGCCACACATCGCCGCGCGGTTACTCGCTCTCCATCCGATATCAGACTTCCAGCAAGAGGCATCCTTTCATCAAATCCCCACTTCGTCTCAGCTGCATGGCTCCCACAGAGAATGAGGAACTCCCACTCCGCAGGCAAACTTCCCGCGATTCGGCTTTTCCCGGCACCGAATCAATCTCCAGAACATCATGGTAGAAGCTCCACGCCATGTTTCACCCTCCATTTGTCAAGGGGTAGGCCTCGCGAGTTCCTGCTCGCCTGCCCGGAGATACCAAGGCACGCGCACAAACAGCATTATCGGACTTTTCTCAGTAGGGGCCAGAAAAATTTCGATTCGCTGTATGAACTCGACCAGGAACAGGGAAGTTCATGATACGTGGCGATAAGAACTCTCGGACTCTCACTTCCGAGGCATGCAAACTCGGTGCGCAACAGTAGCCCTCACACGGTCTGCGAGCAGATCAAGTAGTCTACAATACGCGTACCCTTTCCAGCCCTCCAGAAGTGAGAGAAACGCAATGCAAACATCATCCGTGAAACTAGAATGAACTCGAAGTTCGGAGCGAGACGCAATATGTACTACATGTGCGGGGTAGCTGTGTGATCACTCTCTGTTTGGGCAGAGCCTCTCCTAGAAAAGTTTTATTCAAAAATATCCAATCCGCGCCCCTTGAAAAACTCCTTCAAATGTCGACATCTATCGAGAGCTTCATGCTGTTTCGAGCGACGAATTTCAGAATCTATCGATACAACGGCGGGGTATGAGGTCCTGGGAATGCCAGCTACCGACGAATGCGAGGCGAAATCGGCGATCCACTCCATGGATTTCAGGGTGAATGCGAGATCTTCCGGATGAATCTCATCTCTCAGCGTCAGCAACTGGGACCCCACGAAGTGCATATGAGCTGTCATATGGAACGATTTGTAAATCTCGGGATCGTTGTCCCAGAAGACGTTTTTCTTGAAAGCTCTCTCGAAGACGTAGAACGTGGAAACCGGGGTGGTTTTGTAGGAACTCAACATTGAGCAGTGGAAATACATGTCTCCGAGAAAGAGCGCGGCTCGATCCACGAGACTGTGTTCGTAACCCTTGAAGTACAACCGATCCAAGAAATCTTTAAACTGAGACCACTGGCTTTCGATGTTCTCCTCAAACTCCCGTAAGCCAGACATGAGGAGTACTTTGCACCATTCGACAGCTTCGTGAGTCGAGCGGAATTCGGGCAGGGGATCGTTGATTCCGAAACCATTCGACACGAGCGTGAGGCCTTCGCTACCTGAGTGACCGAGAAAGACGGAAACGTTCCCCGATACTGCCTCGAGGAGTTCTTCGGGGAACTTTGTCGGCCGAAAACTCAGTAGAGGGGAATCCATGACGGTCATGGATGCATCGTTGATCACTGCCGCAGGAACTTTTCGAAGGCAGCGAAGCAACTGGTGCGGCCTGGTCGAATTACAGCCGACCTTCACTGCTAAGCGGATCATCCTCCGCAGAGAGCTTCGAACTGTTTCCAGGCGTTTCGTGGAGAGAACTCCCGCATCCATAACGGCTCCCTGCGGATACAAACGTCGGATGTGAATCTTCGTGAATCGCCGCTCTTTCACCCATGCAGACAGGGTATATATAAAATATGTATATGTGACTGGAGCTCCCGACAAGAAATGAACTAACCCTGACCAATCCTTGGCTGAGCGGCGACTTGAGATGGTAGGAGACCCCGACAGCTCCGGCGCTGCAGCCCATAAGAGTGATTCGGGTCGGGTCGCCCCCGAAGTCCTCGATAAATTCTTTAACCCACTTTATCGCTAATCTCTGATCCAGGAAGCCTTGATTCCCTGGTAGGTTCACGATTTCCGACAAGTCAGAGAAGCCGAATGCGCCGAGTCGGTAATTGAAATTCACCACGATCACATCGTGAAGGGCCGTCAGAGGAAGTCCACTGTAGTTTGGACTTCTCGAGTGGCCCACGATGAAGGCCCCCCCGTAAATCATAACGATCACCGGTAGCTTCGTTCGTCTCACAGCCGGTCTCCAGATATTCAAATAAAGACAGTCTTCGTCTTGAGTGAAATTGGCGTAGATTTGAATGCAGGCCGGCGGATATTCGCTCGCATTGAAGGGGGAGTAGGGGAACTTCTCGACGAGCTGCGTTTCTCTGAAACGCCGCATCCCAATCGGGGGCTCGGCGAAAGGAATCCCCCGGAACACTTCCACTGTCTGATTATTAAACCACAGCGTTTCATGGGTTCCCAGAACGGTTCCCAATCGGCGAACCCTCACCCGAGGCGGTTCGGGCTCGCTTTGGCAGATTGTAAAACAAGCGAGGAACACGAGCAAACGGAAGCTTTGCATCGCAACAAACAATCTTTGCCACCGTTTCATCACATTTACATTCGGCGCCATTGTCCGCTATTAAATAATGGGAAAAGTTCCGGAGCGCGTCGTTCGCTCTGGAGGTCGTTCGTAATTGATTGTGCTCATTTTTCCTCGACGCTACATTATCGAACTTCGGCGCAAATAGTCATGACACTTGCATGGGCCACGGGAAACACAAAAACCTCCTGAAGTAAGCGCAGTCCCCGCCGCTCAAAACACTCGACTGTCGCAAACGTTCAAGGTTGGCAGCAGTGCTGCGGGAGAGGAGAGAAGTCGACCGGCTGGTAGACAAATCAGAGTGGAGAGGAGGAGGATTCCTCTCGTAAGACGGGCCAACGGTGACGGAGACCAAATTCCGACTTCATTCATTGATCTACGCGTACGAGCAACCGGTGCGAGAATATTCTCAAGAAGTAGGAGCTCAGGGTTCGCTCCGTCGGACTTCCGGGACGGAATCCCGTCATTCCCATAGAAGAGAAAATCTTCGTCGACGCCTGCGGATCGATTCCAGTCGTTAATTACGACGCCAGAAGCTAGCACCGCCTCTTTCTGAAACTCTGAATAATCATTAGCGCGCGCGCGACTGCGGCTCGCTCTCAGAATAACGCCTTATCGGATGCCCGAAAGGTTGGTACGGACCAGCAGCTGCCGGACTCGCGTTCTGCGTTCCATGTTCCTGATAGCTCTTATTCGATAGGTGCAACGGATGATCGGATGAAGCGAAACTTCGTCGACCTCCGAACGATGACGCTCAGCGGCGAAGTGTTCGAGGGATCTCGAACGCCCCAGCTCGCATAAGTATCCTAGGCGTGGCAATTAGCAATGCAGCAATCGTGCCTGCAGACGAAAATTCAGATCTTTCTCTCAGGAAAGGGGAATAAACATGGACCGCTCTTAGGATAATGCCATCAAGATTCACGAAGGGATGCGGCAGCGTTGACGACTAGGCTAGCCATTACATGAGAGCACCTGTGGCAATCGCTTATCGGGCTCTATCCGGACAACCTACTCACTCAGGTGCATGGAATCGACTGACTTCCAACTTCGGAATGCTCACGATAGTTGACGGCGACAAGAATCCGGTTCACGTGGTTTTGCATCCTGTTCTCTTTCACTCATCGCATGCTACGCTGTATGCTCCCTTTCGCCCGAATAGACGCCCTTGGCCGAAAAGCCCCTTCGACGGAGCTTCCAGCAATGGGGCTAGTGTTTGCATTGAACGGCCTGCCTACAGTCTTGACTCGGGATATCGAATAACGGAATGGGTTTCGCATGGCTTGCAAGGATTTCATTTTCTGCCATTCGTATACCGAACGGTTGACTGTCGCTCTTCGCCAATAATTGGGTCAGTTCTCAAGATTCGACCTCTCATCGAGGGAAGGTTCCAAGACATCGGATGACAAGCCATATAGGCTCAAACTTTCCTGAAAACTGACGTTTTACGGTAGAAACCGGAGTTTTCAGGGTCGATGATGCGTTGTGCTTTCACTTGGAGCCCCTCATGCTCGATGACGAATCCGTAACTAGATACTACGCTTGCTCAGGATGGCAACGCATGATATTGCACAAGAGCACCAGGTTCGAAGGGAAGCCTTCTTGAATTGGAAAGCGCAACAATTGGCACCAGAGCTTTCGGGACTTTGGGAGCCGAGATTGCGGTGCCGCGGCGGTCGCTGAAGCGCATGACGGAGATGAGCTTTGGAAAGGATTCCCTTGCAGAAACCAGCCCGGACCGCCTCCCAAGACTCCTGAAATCATTTGGGAATATAGTTTCTCAGGGAACCTCGGGGATCGCGGTAGCTCCTGGCCCGGCTACCCAATGAAAAACGACGCCGCTGCAGTGCTAGCGAAAAATTCTTTCATTCAGGGGGTTTCTGAGAAAGAAGGCGCGAAGCTTCGCTCTGAGCTTCCGGCAAGTGGAAATACTCGGAAAGTGGAATACTCGGAAAATATTTGCGATTCCCACCCGACTCTGGGCTTTCGTCAAGATATTATACATATTTTCGCGTCTGGCCTTTCCTGTCGCAGAGATGGGACAGACGGCTCAGGAACTGCGGTGATTGCGCGCGAATCACTTCTTACCGTCCGGGACCATTCGGGACTCTCGAGGCGAACCTAAATCGGGAAGATGGCGGCTCTAACCCCTGGCTCAGGATAGCGCTCCAGCACCTCCCGTCAACGTTTTGTGTGGCTCCAGGTCCTCATTCTCATCGACTGCCGTAGGATGACTCAATCGCAGCCGGAATCAAGCGCGGGTCGAGTCTGCGGAAGGAGAAATTAGGGACGGCAATATGACCCGAAATATTGCTCGATGTCTGTCAAATGTGAGCTCTAGCCCATCTCTCAGCGTGATCAGCGGCAGCTTTCCTTTGGATCTCAGCGCGGCCTCATGCCCCGACACTGCGATTTATTTCATCGTTACGCTTGCCCTCCGGTATGCGCTCACCTCAGAGAGTAGCAATCTATCAATTTCTCTTCCGTCAATTATTCATCCCTTATCCGTCGACTGGGTCACCCTTCAATTCGGGCATCGATCTAGTATACACCGCGAGCGTCGCTCTTGATGCCCACGGGAGATGGGAGAATTGAGTCCATTATCGGATCTGGTGGAAAATCATTTCTTGCCCTGTTTCGACGAAATATCGTCCGGTCGGTTCCGAGTTTACGGCGCACCAGAGGGTATCCAGACTCGTCATTGGATCAGTCAAGAGCTCCTGATCATGTTTCTTGAGGTTCCATCGGTCATTCTGGGTACTTGCAAAGCGTTATCCGTCCTAATTCGCTGTCAGACGGAAGGTCTGATTCGTGATTCGGTAAAGCCTCATTCGGAGGCAAATGAGGCTGTGGCTCGAAACCTACTACTCCAAGGGGCTTGCATGAGTGTAGTTCTCCTCGATAATTGATTCAAACACTGAACAGGCATGAGAGTGACCCTCCAATTATAGCGGAAGCACCGGCCCTGCCTGCTTCCAAAATTGTTATAGTAATTCGTTGTTCCGGAAAGTTCTACGGTCACTGCGGTGGCCAAATGATAACACCGCGCACCGCTCGTGACGTGGAGCTGATAGCCGACTCATTGTGAGATTTGGGATTGAACGCGGGACCGGAGCCGAGACTGAAATCGCTCCGATGGCGAGAAAGTCCAGGGAAGTTCTTCTCACTCAGTTGGGCAGGAGTATGATATGAAGATTCATCGGGGAAGCCTCAGCGATCAGACGCTTCCTCCTGCTGGGAGAATCAGAGACTCTGCGCCTAAGGGATTCGTGGCAAGAGGGGCTGCTGTCGGGGGTTTTCTGCTTGCGATGATTGAAATCTCACTTGCTCTGTCGGTAAAAATCATGGTTTTTAGCTAAGGACGTGGGGAGCCGCAGTATTGCTCGTCTCGGAAAGACTAAAAACTCACACTCCAATCGATAATAATCGGTGTCTCGGGGGACTCCCGAACCCCCGAAGCGGACTCACCATCGAATTAAGCGAGGGACTGGAGGGAGCCGCAGCAACACCCGGCTTTCGCCGAAGCGAGCGCAAATGAACAGTAATTCGCAGAAATTCGATCCCCACGATCGAAGAGAGTCCAATTATCAGCATCATAGAATGGCCTTTCACGTCCTCCACGTCGAGAGGCGAGCCAGTCATTTCCTTTTTCGTTCTCGTCTTGTTCCCGTATAGAGCCTGCCGCAAGTCAGGGTCCACATGGCCGGAATCAAGCATCGATCGGACCCTGAAAACAAGAACATAACGAGCAGGCCGGGACGGAAACTCCTACTCGCATAACAATCATTCTCGGATTGATTCAGTCTCGTTTCCCTTTTCGCCCATCATGAGGGCTTCATTCCTAGGCTGGGATAATAATCAGGAAATCTTCCCAGGAAGCCCAACCTGCCTTAAACAAACAGTGATATTTCCACGTAATTCTAAGCACACCTTCTGACGACCTCGTCACGACTTCTCACAATCAATGATGCGCCCGATGCAGCCTAACATGAAGGTGCTCCAGGACGTTTTGGAGACGATTCTCGTCCATCAGCCCTGCGTCGCGAAGCCACATAAGGTTTTAGTTGACCCTCATTTCGGCATGAATATACATATGCAGAATGATGACAGGATTTTCCCTAAGCATCGTCTGCAGGTGTTGTAGATGTGAGCTCTTCCTCGACGCCGGGACGATCGAAGAGCGCCGTCGCCTGCCCATCCCCTACCAGACTCTACTCCTTGCTTTCGATCACTGTCCCGGATGACAATCCGCAATGGGGAAAATGACTGATGACAGTTTGAGAACTAAACCGACGGTTGCCTTCAGCTTGCTCTTACGGTGATATACTGGAGCACGACGGAGTCGACGAGAGCGGCGCATCGAACTTGATCCTCAAGGGCTGCTCTGTCCAATGCCGCAATGCTGTCGATACCTGCAAGGCCGTCACCGTTGCTCTGAATACGGGACTGGAGGGGAAGCAGAGGAGAGCTTCTATTGTTAGCTCGGGAGGCAGACACGGAGTTCATGATCAAAATGTCACTCCATCGGCGTCGGCTTGACAACTATTGGTTTCCGAAAAACTTCTCTGCCGCGGGGAATGGGAGCTCCGAGGAGAGAGGGATATTTCGTTGCTCTGAGCTCTGAGCCCGAATCGAGGTCTGGCGGACTCCACTGTACGGAGCAGCAAGCAGGAATTCGGCGGTCCGAAGCCGCGGGACAAAAACGTCAAGTAAAATTACCGATGAACTGGCACTGACATCATGGAGGTTAACGCCGAGCAGTAGATGCTCGTGTGGACGATCGTATAAATTCAGATGATCACCAGGAATAAACGTTACTTAGATAGAGATGGGTGAAAGAAATGATCAGCGGCTGTAATGGATGGGGGGAATATTCAGAAACCGATTCAGGTCGATTCCGGGTTCTGTCGGGGGAGGCGAGAGATGGCGAAACAAGATTCGACGGTTACACCAAAACAAAGTATCACAACAAATATCCAACGGATGTTAATCATCAGCATTCGGGTGACCGAGAATCTGTCCAGCCACTCTTTCTCATACTCACGTTGTCTGAGGGCCGTGCCGATGACCATCGTCCAGTTCGGCCAAGGGCGCCGCAAAGATTTTTTCTTTCAAGATTTTAGCTCTCCTGGAAGCTCGGAAGAACCGGAGCGCGCGATGGTGCAGCCAGCCAAATTTGAGCAGATGATCATCCTCTGTGGAGAAGCTCGGTCGGCAGGCTTCGGAAATCGAGAGAGCGATCGGGACATTCTAGTACGATGTTAGTGTCCACACTTCTCTGGACTTTCCACGCGTGAATCTCATAGATCGATTACCTTGTTGAAGATCATTCTGATCATTCCGTTCCGATATGTGAGAGGGCCGTGCTCTCCAAGTTTCCCATAGGTCGCTTTTATCATGGGATGGAAATCTAGGCTATAACATGTTGGAGGGATTCAGAATTTATGTGGAGGTCGTGTTCGAGTGCGTTTTGCAATCCATCATTCGAAAGCCGGACCAGCGGACTCGCGGGCCTCGCAGATATATTATATTCTCCCCCCATGAGTGTGAAAAAGCACCGTCAAACCGGGCTCTGGCCTTCCTGCGAGAGAGGCTACCGACCATACCAAAAACTCACGTCACATCCAATAAGTTCTCGAAATAATCAGCCATGTGAACTTACGTATCCCGCCATTTTTCCCGATGATTCAGCTCCTCATTGAATCTGGACTCAAAATGCAAAATGTTCTGGAAAGAGTTCGTATCGAGGCTTTGCTGAAGATCACGATCGAGAGGCGGAACTCGATGGAGAATTTGCGGCGACTCAACTCACATCGACGTATCTCACGATCATGTTCCGACACTCGTATCCGATGAAGTAATCAGAAGCTGAGTTATTTGCATCCGGACGGATAACTCCACATTGCACGCCTACAGTTTCCAAATGACGAATCAGAAGCAACCTGACATCGATTGCTTGTCCCGAATGGCCATCTAGGTTAGTGACCTAACGATAAGCATTTTTCGTCGATGTCAGCAATTCCCTACGGATCTCGCATCGGACTCAGGAACATGCTGGGGTTGATTGCAAGCTAACGTTACACACCTTGAGGCCCGGATTCAAAAGCTCCCCTAGAGCGCCCATTGAAGCGACGTAATGAACAAGCGGAGTTTGACCACAAGAAGCACCCAAAGGTAGCGGGAGCTTCTATTCCTGAACGACGTCTCGGGGGGATACCATATTCGGCAAATCCAATTGACATTCGGTTGGAGGACGCTCTGTGGACGAGGAGCCATAGGAAGTGTGAACATGGAAAAAATAACTTTTCAATAATTTTTTGAACTCCGGATTCAGGTCGACTCTCCGCGCTATTCGTATTCGTAGTCGAGTCCCAGCACTTAGAACATCGCTCACATTACGGGATAGGAACGCCGTGTATAATGAGTAAACCACGTTCAGAAGTAGAACCTTGTAGTCTCCAGTCAAGCTGACGCTTCCCATATTGAAATCCTGGTGTGCTTCTCGATTAGTTGACCGGTTCAACTCAAACGTGGCGAAGGAAAAGCGATCCCCTCCAGAGTCGCTGCGGGGAAAGGTTCGGGTCAGCCTATCCTCTCCCGCGAGCACAACACATGAAAACCCTCGATGAGAGTTTTCGGAATCTAAGCAACGATGCCCGAGCAGGATATCTTTACCGATCGGGAGGCGTCCGATCGTCACACGAACATGAGAATGTAGGCAAAAGACAAGCAGCTAGCGAAGGCTGACACAAAACTCGCCACTTCCGGATATTCAACCGCAGACCGGTACACTGAGGACCAGCTCGAAGATCCTGTCCGAGGAGTAGTAACTGATCTTTATCTCATCGAAATCATCCGAGCAGCAATGTCGCGTTCTAGAGCTCTGGCTCAACGATAATTGCCATCCCTGTCAGAAATTCCCGTGAGCGGCTTCAGGGGACGGACACGAAGCCACCGTTTAACAGCCTTATGGTCTCCGGAGGAATTTACCTAGCAGCACGAGTAGGAAGAGCCGTCTCGGAAACACGTTCCACATCTGGCGAGAAACGCTGACCCATCGTCAGAATAAAACTGTTAAGTGGTGTCTTCCGCGTCTGCCAATTATTTATCGAATACGGCTTTACGTCGACCGTTCGATTCCGTACGCCAATCGCTGAGGGACGTTCCGCGCGAATACGTGATACCACCGAGAAACATAAACGCTGACGTTGCTCCCCGCTCCTCTCTTCCCCGAGGTTCTTGCCATCGATTACTGAAGAATTCGTGAGACTCTTTCGAGTATCGAGGGGCTGCGCTAAGAAACCGAATCATCGCGAGAATACTTCGCTGGTTTCGTTACCGATCGATACGACGGCAGGCGACCTCGACTGAAGTCTGACTTCCGGGGGAATACTTATTTGATCATGATTCGTGGTACAGCGGAAAACGCCTTGGAGCAGAGCTCCCCGCCTCCCATGGAATGAGAATCGCCCCGCAGTCACGACTTATTCTCTATTCACCTCATTCTGACCGGGCTCTCGACACCCGCTAGGATCTACGGAACGGAGCTCACAGATACTTCGGATCATAGTTGATTATTCGATTACCGCGAATCCTAGTCGGTGAGATGATCGTCTCGTAGAAATGTTTCGGAGACAAGAACCCGCTAAGGGTATGTCGTGGGGAGTCGGGCATATGTAGATGCTCAGATCTAGAGCTCCCTCTCGAGCATTCATGCTTCTGCAACGAGGCTCCAGGTCTCAAGATGAGTATAGGAACTGATTCTTCTCTAGCTTCACGCGATGGCCGCGGGCCTGGTTTCAAACTAGCACACCTAGAAGTCATTTCGTCAACCCCTTCAAAGGCTGCGCCTCCCAACTTGACTTTCTCCTCCATGATTCCCGATCCCACAGGTCCGCGCAGATAGGCGGAGGGTCGGAAGCCGGAAATGCTACCTGGAAGAAGTTGGCTCCCACCATGGCCTGGTCGGGGAGCGCGTTTCCTTGAAAACGCTCCTGAGCAACTGTGTTTCTCCCTTCCCAAGCTGGATGCTGAAGTCCCTCCGCGATAGCATACATGCGGGACACCATCCCGCAGCTCGGGGCCGCCAACCCCTCCGCAGAGCCGGTCCTGGGAGCGAAAGGTATAAAATGGCTGCCTCCTGATATTTGGAGGGGCGTTCCAAAATCATACTCAAGCATCCTGAGGATATTCTCGGGGTGAATTTGCTATTCCGTTCGTATATATGCCAAATTCATATGGCAGCTCAATCGTATGTAAGCCGCAGCTGATCGACTCCAGGAAAACTCGATCGGAACACCGCGACCGAGACCGACAACTTCTGAGAAGCACGTGATCCCGGTGAATAGTAAGTTGCGAGAATCCGTCCAGAATGAGACAGCATTTTTTCGCGCCCTAGAACGTTGGCAAAGACGGACCTTCGAAAAATTGGGCGTCCTCTCATTCGCTTGCAGAGTGTCAACGGATATGCTGGAGCTGCTCATCGACGAGGAGTCGAGGGATCCGAGATTCATCGGTAACCCATTTGTAGATTCTCCGCGCTATGTGCTGGGAATTTCGGCGATCTACCTCAGTTTCATATTCCTCATCGGACCCCGCTTCATGCGGGATAAGAAGCCGCTCAACGTCAAGCCGTGGATTCGAGTTTTCAATACATATCAGATCCTTGCGAACATTTTCGTAGTCATCAGTATGAGTTACTTGGCGTTCTACAAGCTGAAGTTCTCCTTGATATGCGAACCACCCGATACACGTATGGATGTCGACAGTCTCCGACTGCATACGATTGGATATTATTATCTTCTTGTGAGATTCACGGACTATATGGACACAGTGTTTTTTGTCCTCGCAAAAAAACAATCTCACGTCACATTCCTCCATGTCTATCATCACCTCTGTGTCTGTCTGAATGGATGGCTCTATATGAGACAGGGTAAGTAGGTGATTCTAGGGAGAGCGAGACCCAGTCTCTCATGTATGAAAAATGCATTGAACTACTCGATGCCGGTGATGACTCAATTTTGACAGGTATGAATAGGGCTGGGAATCCATCACGGAATTCACGGTCGCGCCGAAAGCCGTGAATTTTCCTTCATCCTGTGGTGCCGTGAATTTTTTTTCACTCTTCTGCGAGATGTTTCCCGACCTCTAGGAGCTGTCTCCACGAGGAGATGAGGATTCCACTATCGGAAATAGAACCTGGCGTTAGAGAGATGCCGAAAAAAGGGTCATCAGCCCAATAGTATCCCCTACCCGGCATTCCCAAGGTCGAAAATTCACGGCACCGTGAATTTTCGGGAAAAGTGCCGCGATGAATTCCCAGCCCTAAGTATGACGTATCACCGATCCATCTATCAAGGATCGCTATTACCATAGGAACATAGGATTGATTCCGTTGTGGTTTCCAGGCTGGGCAAACATCGGAGCGCTGGGTGGGTTGATAAACGCCTGCATTCACACAATCATGTACATATACTTCTTGATGGCAACCTTCCCACATCTCAAGAAGCACCTGTGGTGGAAGAAGTATCTCACACAACTTCAAATGGCTCAGTTTATCGCGATGATATCTCAATTCGTGGTCGTTTACTCAAGAGAAGACCATTGCGGGTACCCGAAGGCCGTTTTATTGAATGGTAAAATACTCGGGGAAAATACCATTGTTTTCCTTGCAGAATGAGACCCTGAGCGCCCTGAGTTCTTAATTGGATCTATTCGATTCCAGGCATAGTGAACGTATTCATATTATTCTCCCTGTTCGTGGCTTTCTACATCAAAACATATATCCGCAGAAGTCGGCAACCACAGCAACCTCGCGCGAGCTCTAACGGAATTTCTCGCAAACGACGATAAGCACAGCGAGCCGGGGATCGTGCCTGATCCATCGTCGACGGCTCGCAAGCTCATTCCTCAATCGAGGAACATATTATTCTCTGCGCAATAGTTCTCTGTGTATTCGAATTTTTTGTAGGATTTTGTACAATCAATATAAACTCTCGCCAAAGCTTTGGAGCGTGACTCAAGTTTAGTTCTGACTTTTCCTTCGAATATTTTGGCGTGTCACCGGTGTAACTTCTACTGTGGCGACATTGCAACATTAGCGGTGATTACAGCGTGCCTGGCGACGACCTGTTCTAAGAATGAGGGATACCGCGCGGCGGAATATCGCAAAAGGTATCCGCGAGCTAATGAGAATCTCAAAGCCGGTTCATCCTGGCATAAATTCGATTAATGAGAAACATCGTCGGGAGCGGCTCCAGTATCGCCCCATCGGGCGACTTTCGATCGGAGAAAGGTAGTTTCCGCTCTCTCTGATCTATCCGAACTTTTCCCACCGGGAGCTCCTCGAAACTTAGAGCAAGCTAATCGAACGACCGCTCGGGAACCGATCTGCGCGCGGATTCGAATTGTATCAGACTCCCCCAAAAGATTGGTCCGAGGAATCTGACCCCCCGGAAAGCGACAGCTTTCGAAATACCGTCTCTGTGATCCCAAGCGCCAATGCGACCGTTCCAGGTACACTTCTAGAATCTAGATGAGGCAATGCTCAGGCATGTGCGAGTTCACAGTCCCAGTGACGGAGCTGACTGAGTCTGGCCCTCCCTTCCCTGCAAAACTGCACGAGTCAGTGAAATCCCCCTGCTCCCCGGTCCGCAACACGGGCTCGGGACTTCCGAAGCTCCGTCATTCGATGCCCTGTTTCCTTCCATGTCCCAGCTCCGAATCTGTCCCCCGGCCGCCGCGTCTCCAGAAGCAGCTCCAGCGAGGAGCGTCGGAGAAGGAGCGAGCGTCATTTTCGCGGACGGCGCGGCGCTGGTTCACTGGCATAGAGGGCATTTTTCCGCTGAAAATAGAGGAAAATTTCCGCGGGGGACGAAAAACGCACATCGAAAGTAGACTTTTCATTCCTTGTGCTTGTGATTGCCTCGTGATTCCTTTGGCTCGTGCTATAGGAATAATTCAACTCTCCTCCTTTTTCTGCCGCGAGTCAACAATCGGGCGAATCCCAATATCCATGTTCGATCGTTCAGGGACGATTCGCTGAGGAGGGAATTTCCGATCCGACGTCTGGCTCATGCTCGTGCCCTCGGGACCTCGGAGCCAAGATCGAGAAAATTGCGTGGAAATTTAACCTGAATCGGAACTAGGGCTTTTCCTCGGAGATATCAAAGAGCGAACCTTCCCTTGACAATCCATGAAGCAGACAGGACGGACAAGAGGGACGCGTCCTCTTATATCGCAGCTTATTGATCGAGTCCAGTCAAACTTCAGCGGGTCTCCAACTCTCCCCGCTCCTCGGATGCTCGGCCCCAGAGAGATGAGCAGCGATTATCAGCAGGGTCGAGAGAATAATTCCGAGAATCTCTCGCGAGACAGACTCGCTGCGATGTTCAGGCATTGAGTGTTGGTTTTTGTGGGATGTTCCCAAATCATTCATGGTACATATTCAAGAAAACGCGACGAGACGTGGAAAACGTTTTATATAGCAACAATCAAATATACTTAAACCTATCACAATCCAACGAGCAGTGGATAACTACATAATATCGTCTAGGAGCTGATGAGGAATCAGCGTCAATCTTTTCCATGGCACAACTCACAACATTCAGTGGAATTCCCCGGAACAATTATATGGTCGAATTTTTCGCTGAGGATCACTATCACGAGAACCCGTAGATCTATTCGATACGAGTCCTTCCCTAGGAGCGCCCTGATGGACGTATAGAACATGCACATCCAGAGGAATCGGCATTCGCGACAACTGCACTAACACTATTTACACGAGGAACAGAAGTATTTCGGACAACGGGCGGGCTGGCTGGATTGGTGGGTGGCAGGCTTCTTCTCCGGAGAGAGCAGGAGCGTCTGAATGATTCCGCTAGAGCCCGAACTAGATGCGGAGTGGAACTCGGAGCGCGGGCTCCTCCTGGATCCCAAGTCTGCGGTTTGGTCGCCCTCATTCCGTACACTTGCTTAAGGGCTCGCACGTTTGTCCCTGCAAGTCAACGACAACAGCTGCGCCATACAGGCTATTATTTAAGCAGCAGCTTTTTTCTTAATGTACGCTTGGATGTCTCTTGTCAACGGCACCCTGCCGAGACCGGCATTGGCGGTACCGCCGACGCCATCTAAGTACGAGAAAGCTGTTTGAGCGAAACCCTTCGACTGGGGCACGCGGAAAACGCGGTTATCGCGGGGCTCGTTGTTCATTGAGGGGAACATCAAAGGCATGAAGAATGGTTTCGGATGGGGTTCGTGGTGGAGACTGGCCTTCTGGAACGTATTCCGCAGAGCTGGCGGGGTTGGGAGCACGGCCTGCTGGAATGACAATGTCTTTGAGTTTCCACGCTCATGATCGATCGTCTCCGAGTGGAATTATCGAGCTCGAGACATCTCAGAAGAGATCAAGCGCTTCCCATGACTCACCTCATAATGATGCGGCAGACCGAACAGGCGTGTTGGCGCGAAGTGCGACGTCAAACCCCGGCTCGCTTCCTGATTTCCGACCGCTCCATTTTTCAAAAGTCCGTGCACTGCTTGCTATGAGCGCAGAGTCATAGATTAGCGATAAGAGCGAAATTATCCGTCGAAATACGGAATCGTCGTGATGAACCGTATGCGAAGCGAAGCTTACCTGATGGTGACGCGGCTGCCCGAAGTGCTGGTCCGGAACTTGGATGGGACTTGCTTTGATCGTGAATTGCCTGGAAGATCTTTGAGGTCGTGCGTTTGCGGTCTTGGTGCCGGTAATCCTCGTGGGCGGAGGACCTCGATGAAGAAGATGCTGATGTACGTGCTTGGCGAAGTATGGTCGGTACTCAAATTCCAGTGGTTGACCACGGCTCGCTTCGAGGTTGTCCTGAGGCGATATAGACAGAGTCTGCATTCAGATTCGAGTCGCTGCCATCTCTCGCGTCCGATTCGCAATGCTCCGATGCAGCATATATTTTTAGGAAAATCAAATCGAAGGGTGTCATTCGAATACACGAACCTTCGTGGCGGAATTGTGCGCCTCATGGCTGAGCATCTGATACGTCGGTCCTGCGTTGCCTGTGCTCTCATGATCGGAGTGCTGGTCAGGATAATTGTGACTTCCGTGGTGACCCGGACCTACGTCATCATGCATTTGCACAGAGATTTTCGCCTTTGGCAGAGGAACGTGGGACAACAAAACGTCATCCGAAGGTTCTTCCTCCTAGAAATCCCAACACGGCTAATAAGATTTTGTTGGAGCGTTTGGGGGATACTTCATTTTGAGCATAATTCATGAATCGTAAGTTGGTCAATCCTTTATCATTCAAGCAGATTTCGGACCTTGGTTTGCTGTTGGCTGTGATGTTCGTATTGGGACGGCAACGCGTGGTGATAGGGTGCGTACTGACGCTGCGACTCTTTGTCGTTTTCCTTTTTCTCTGACGAGTCATGCAGGTAAACATAGCGCAAACCACTGAAACACATGTCCCGGTGAAATTAGTCCGGCGGGGGAGGGACGATATCTTGGAGGAGCCGACACAGTCATTCAACTACAATGACTGACTTCCTATCAATCACCGCGATATTAATCCTGCTTCGAAATATCGTCATGCCCCGAACGAGCTTTCGGTGCTGTATCAATAAAGGGGAGCAGTATTGAGGGATTTTTTTTACCCCGTGTCTTGCTGGTCGTGCTGGCTCTCCGCGGTTTGGGCCTGCACGAATCGCTCGTTCTTGGCCCCTGCGGCGTGGTCATGATTCGGAGTATAAGGATTGTTGTTCACGAATGATCGGTGCTCGGACGTGGGATGATAGGGGTTCTGAGGTTGTTCTCTCGATTGATGGTTGCGATATTCATTTTGGTCTTGCAGGGAATGATGACGGTGGTTCGCATCGTGATTGATATTACCAGCTCCGGTATTTGAGAACAAAAACTGTGGATGTGACACCTGATGCTCGCCCCCGTACATGGGTGGTTCAGCTCTGCTGTGGTCCAGTTCTGCAATCGAAAAACGCTGTAACCTCATTCCATGGAACGAGCAGAGTAGTCTATCGGCTGAAGCGGTGAGCATCGGCAGGGCAATGGGTGCTAGAGACCCCGTGCCTCATTTCTCGAAATCTCTAGAAACGATTTGAGTTGTATCTTCGATATGGGCCCCGAAGCGATGGTCTGACAAGTGATCGCAAGAACGACACCGCTCACTGATGGAGATCTTTTTTGCGAGCGGTCATTAATGGAGAACTAATAAGCTACTGATTTCGAGCAAGAGGTGCCGGTTCAAATTTCGAGGAAGAAAGTCCGTCGTTGACGTCTTGGTGAGTATTCGCCCCCGCTCATCATTCCGAAGACGATACGTGTGCCGGAAGGCGTGTCCCCCCGCTGGGCATTTTCCGCTAAGCGACTTGGATTCTTGATTTTTTCTTTTCTTTTTTTTGGAATTTCAAGACGACGCGCGCGTTGAATTTGGCCGCATTGTTCGTCTTGTGTTAGCACAAGAAATGCCTCAGCGATAGTCAGGCACACGATCCGATAGTCTGAATCGGAATTATTCAGCTCTGGAATCACTCGAATCTAGTAATGGTCAAAATGCAGCCCGCCTAAATGTCATTTCAGTCGAGAAATGGAAGCTTTCAATCGTCGCTAAATTGCTGGAAGACGTCTTCCAGCCTGCCAGACCCGAGCAAGTTATAGTCACGAGAAACAGACAACGAGAGCCGGAATATTCCTGCTATGAGGTTGCTGGTCCAGGGGGAGGGGGGGCGGAACCCAAGGAAGACGTCTGGTCAGGGAACACAGACGTATGAGGCGCCAACCGGCTCCAGTATTCAGTATCCCAGATGTGCGCTAAGTCCACTGTGTTTGAGGTAGTTGGCACAAG